ATCACCCTCCTCTTTCCCCAAGGAGCCTTCTACCTCTTTGGTACGTACGTTCTTAGCTCTTGATTGGAGCTGGTGCGGCCAGTGCCAGGTGTACAGGGTTGCAGCCGCCCTGGAAAAGCCTAAGCAACCCCCGGCGTGGCCCTGGAGAGGACAGGGGGCAGAGGCACTAGGACTTACTTTGTTTGCGGCAGCTGTCCATGCAGACTCTTTCAGAAAGGAAGTTGTTAGGGTTCCCGTGGCAACCACCGAAGGTGAATTCCCGGCAAGTCCCAGTGTTCTTATCATACCACCAACGTGAAAAGGAGGCCAGGCAGACGCCAGGGTCCTTTGGCATACTGCAGATGTCTGCAGGGAAGACCACAGGGCAGAGCGTGTCTGGGTGCCTGCCTCCTGAGAGCTGAGCGCCTCCTTTCCTCTGACCGGCCCTCTCAGGGTGGCCATTGAGAATCAAGGCTCGGCTCCTACTTTGTTGTGAGCGTTAACCACTCACACTATCTGAAGTCCTGGGTTCTAGACATCCTCATCTGTAAAGGGAGAATCCAGTCTCCCCTCTGCTTGTCTCTCAGGGCTTTATAAGGCACAAATGAGATATTTTGTCTCTTTTTGCACCTTCCTCACCGCTGAACTCAATATAGCTAATTTTACCTCTTAAATAGTTCTTTATTTCTCTTCTGCCTTCTTCATTTACACATCATTATCTCTAGCTAAAATGCTATGATAGGCCACCAACGGATGGCCAAGACTTTTCCAACTGACTCTCTACTGGCTTCCAGAATGATCGATCCATTGGGCTCAAGATAAATTCTACCCCATCCCAGAAGGATCTCAGAATGGGGCTTCTCTTCTGCCTTTCTGGATTTAGTGCCTATCATTTCCCTGGACATCCGTGTGTTTGAACTTCATGGTCTGACAAGACCGCACGTTTACACACTTCTACGTCTTTGCATCTGCCTGGGATGCTCATGCCTTTCTTACTTACCAAGTACACTCCTACTCAAGCATCAATGCCTTCCTAAACATCCAGTCTTCTCTAATGTCTTTCCTCATTCAAGTGATTTATCCCCATTCCTTTTTTTTTTATGAATTTCAATCTTGCACACACATTTGTCATTTCTATAAGTACATGTTCACCTTTTTTGCATGTTCATATTTTTGGATCCCTTCATGCAGATGTGAGCTTTTTTTGAGAGCAAGGGTTGGGTCTTGGGTCTTCTTGGCACCCCAGATCCTGGCAGATCATGTGCACCACACAAAATCAGACTGATGCAGACAGTATCTACCAAACACCTGTGTTATGTATAGCACTCCAAGGTGCACATAGAGCTTCTTAGAAGCTTATAGGCCGAAGCAGAGCAGCAGCAATACGGTAGCATTCCTTGGCGTGTCAAGCACTGTTCTGAGCACTTGATGTACATTAACATATAATCGTAATGAGACAGGTCTGATCATGCTCATCTTGCAGAAGAAGAAATTGCAACTCAGAGAAGAAATTCGCTCAAAGCCACTTAGTTGGCAATGGATTTGAAGGCCGAGGGACCATTGCTTTCAAGACCAGACCGTTTAACCTGCCTTGCTAGGACCCTCCCTGCTTTCTATACCTTTCTCATCTTTTCCACACTTCCACTGGCCTCCATAGACCCCACCATACTGCCCCACCACAGCCAAAACCTTTGCACACATGGTTCTCTGTCTGGGGAGCTCTTCCTTCCAACTACCCATCCTTCAGGTGTTAAATTTTGGTTCTTTGTGTCTAAGAAAATCTTTCCTGACTTCCTGAACACATTGAGCAAGTCAATCCTATCACGGGCCTTAGGAGCACCCGTAGCCGTGTGTTGAGCAAACGAACACCTGAATCCTCCTTTATAGTCTTCTTTAGAGTTCAATGATGATAAGGAAGCTGGGAGGTCAGAGATGGTCAGGATTTATATAGACTGAGAAGCCTGGAGAAGAATGCCAGAAAACAAAACCAACCCCCTCCCCGCCAAATTGTATACCTGTTTCTTATAGGTGTCCTATCACTGGGCACCTGAAAGGATTCCGTGGCTACTTGGCTTCTCAGAGACTCACAGCAATGTGGCTGAGAGACTGTGTGGTCCAATAGCCACGCTGATCTTACAAAGGAAGAATTTGAGACTCAGGAGGGAGAATAACATTGCCAGGCTACAGCTGTGACAGAGGCAAACATCAACTCGAATCCGTGCCTCCCAAGACCAGCACTGCTAGAACTTTCATCAATGGGCCAAGACGCTTTGTTAGAGACGAACCCAGCCCAATGACTCGGGACCGAGGTCTGCCATGGGCAGACGTGGGGGCAAGGACAAGGGTCTCGGCAGTCAAGGGCCCCGTCAGTTACCTTGTTTGAGGTCTAAGCATTTCTTTCCACAATTGAACTTGCAACACTTCTGGTCTCCAGGGCAAGATCTGTGTGTCCTGCAACGATCTGTCTCTTCTATTTCACATTTGACGGTGTTTCGGGGACATCTCCCTGAGGGAGGGGGAAGATGTACTCCCTTGGGGTCTTGATTTGGGCAGTGCCCCTCTCTTCCCAGGCCTAGGGCACCCCTGTGGAGTTGGGGAAACTGTTTGTCATTTCTCCCACTCCCCCAGAAGACAGTGACCTCAGGGGGACCAGACTTTTCACAGTACCACCCTTATCTCCAGTCCCATAACAGCGCGCCATGTAATCCGGAACACTCTCCATCCCAAACCCTCACCACCACCAAGGCTCCAAGAGGAGGGGCCCTTTCCTTCAGGGTCTTGCTGCCTGGGAGCACTTCCCGGGGTGGGGAGTGTGCGTGGCAGCGTGTGATGGAGATTTCCACGTTTAGAACCAGCCAGTGGGCTTCTGGATTGTGTGCAACCCTGAACATAACCCACCTTTCCAGGACCTTGATTTCCATATTTGCCTCAGAGGGTTCTCCTCCACCCCCTGAGGTTCCTTGCCAGCACATTTATAAATCCATGGTCATGCTGCCTGGGCATAAAATCATGGTGAATATTGATGATGTATTTATTATATGCCTGCCCTCTCCCCCCTTTAACCCTTATTATAGCTCTGTGCGCAGTCCTGTCACGGCTCGCATTTTATAAAGGAGGACTCTGGAACGGAGGGAGCCTGGGTGAACATGCCCAAGGAGCAGAATCGAGGTGTGGTTCCTGAGCACACATTTTCAATCGCTATGGAGCACTGCCTATATTTTAATCTACTAATTGTATAGAGTCTTCCTATCTTAGCCAGGAGCTTTCTGGGGCAGTGGGTTAGGTGAGGGGTTGCTAACCACAAGATCAGCAGTTCAAACCCACCAGCCACTCCATGGGAGAAAGATGAGGTTTTCTGCTCCCTCCCATCAGGGATCCCAGGGTAAGAATAGGGGAGGAGGGATGGGGAGGGCATGCCACAGCTACAGAATTATTCCTTGTTCCTACGTCCCAGGCAAATTCTCTTTCTCCAGAGCTAGGTTGGAGCCCCCTGTACTTACTGCCACTGAACCCCTCAACCAGCAGAGGCTCCCGGACACACTGCAGGAGGAAGAATGGTCCCAGAATTGGAAGAAGTCTTGAGAGTCCCATTTTAGGGGCTCCCCTATCCTGGCTAGTGACAGCAAACGGAGGGACTGCTGCACAGCTGTGCTGGCCTCTGAATGTCACTGCCCAGCCTGAGCAGCACCCTAGGAGCCAACATGACTGGACACAAGGCCGCCACGCTCCCTCTGGTGGGAACAGCAAGTTCCCGAGGCCATCAGTAGAACTAACTGGCACCTACAGCCTCAGCCCAGGGGCTTTTCGCTTGAAGGCGTCTAAACCTTAGTTAGATGGACTGGGCTGTCCATCTGGTCGACCAGGCAGTGGGGACCCAGCTTGTCTGGGGCGTTCCAGACTCCTGTAGAGGAAGGGAATGCTCAATGCCAGGCTCTTCAGGTTTCCAGAAGGAATTTGGAGGTCAACTCTTTTCATTTTGGCTTTTCTACCAACAGGTTTATTATTTTCCTGTCTATTTGTCTCACAGTCTCTCTCTCTCACTCTCTCTGCCTGGTTCTCTTTCTCCACCTCCTCTCCTTGCTTCCGTTGTCTCCTCTCCCTGGGCCACGCTTTTTCTTTAGCCCTTGCCAGAAAGTTAAGGTACCAACCACCATGAGTGTGGTGTGGGGAAGGAAGTGGATTGACTATTGATCCTCAGATCATTTCTTTCAAGGCCACGGTCCTTGGAGAGCAGAATTGGTCAGAGTGAATGGGACACTTCTGCCATTGGGAGCTCTTTAGAACCGGGGATGGCGGAGGGAGTGGAAACAGGTCAGCCATGAATGAATTCTGAACTAGCTGAAGATTGTTCTGCAGAGCCTGACAACTTAAGTCATGAAGCCTCAGTGAGAGAATGAACTCAACGTGGGGCATGCGTGAGTCTGAAGAACGCAACGAAGTTGGCTGCCACAGGCTCTGTCTGTGGTTGCCCCACCTCAATACGCTCTTGGCAGCTGCAGGGGCCAGGACCAGTGCGTACCAACAGTGTCCCCTCCTAGGGACAGAGTCTTCTTTGCTGCGGTGGGCTTTCTCTGGCTCAGTGGGAGCCCTGACTTCACTCAATTCAGAAAGAGAGGAGGCATCTTTTACATGGTCCTTTGGAAGACCCCAGTTGAAAGGAGCCTCCAATTCCCCAACCCATGGTAACCAACCCATGCTCAGCCCTTCTCTCTTCTCCGTACCATTTATCCCAACCCCTCCCGCACACTTCTTGGGAGACTTCCCAAAGGACTTTCACCCGTGTCCTTGTCCCGTGGTTAACTTCTGGGGTCTCCAAATTAAGGCAACTCCCATAGGTCCTTGTCCGAAAGGCTTTTGCGATTTCTGAAGAAGTCGGGGAGTATAATGCTCTCCCAAGGGTCAAGGTTCCCTGACGTCCTCCCTCCCTGCGAAGGGGTTGCCAGACACCCCCGTGACCCTTTACTGTCTGCCAAGGGTCATGTGCCGAATGAGCGTGGATCGATGACTCTTGGAGGCACAGGACTAAACAGAGCACTTTATTTGCAGCTACACGGGGATCGCGGGCCCTGAAAGCGTGAGGAGGATGAACTGGAGGAGTGGCCGGGGTGGGAATTGGGGGGTGTGTGGGAACTGTTTGGGGGAAGAGCCAGGCATTGAGAGTTGAGTGTGAACACTGAAGGCGCATTTGAACTCAGCAATGCGAGGTAGTCGCCTCCCTTTCCTCTGGGGCGTCGCCGTCCAACAAGCTGCCCGTGAGGACTGGGTGGTGGCCGTGGTCGCTGTTACTCTGGAAGTCACCGCCGTCATCGAGTTTGTTGGCATCGAAGCCGTGCGCTTCTGTTTAGTAGTACTCGACAGTGTACTCCTGGTGTCTGCCGTGTGTCACAAGGATCCTTTCAGAAGGAGGAACCTATGGAGAATGGAGGAGCGGGCCAAGTAAGGAGCTGGCAGCCCTCTTCTCTGTGGAAGGAGTCTTGATACAGATCATTTTACCGGGGCCTCATACAACTCTTAGCACAATCCATCCATACACCCATGTGTCAAGCACATTTATACATTTGTTGCCATCATCGTTCTCAAAACATTTTCCTTCCACTTGAGCCTTTTGTATTGGCGCCTCATTTTTCCCCTCCCTCCCCCACCTTCCCTCTCTCACGAACCCTTGATAATCTATAAATTATTTTTTTCTCCATATCTTACACTGTCCAATGTCTCCCTTCACGCACTTTTCTATTGCCCATCCCCCAGGGAGGGGGTTATATGTAGATCATTGTGATCAGTTCCCTTTTTTTGGTCCCCCACCTTCCCTTCCCCTCCTGGTAGCTCTACTCTCATTATTGGTCCTGAGGGGTTTGTCTGTCCTGGATTCCCTGTATTTCCAGCTCTGATCTCTACCAATGTACATCCTCTGGTCTAGACGGATTTGTAAGTAGAATTGCAATTATGATAGTGGTGGGGAGGAAGCATTAAAGAAGATTGGATACCTTTTCACAGGAGACTATTATGAACAAGTGGGCTCATTCCGACTCACAGGACAGAGTAGACTGACTGTTCCTTTGGGTGTTGGAGACTGTCACTCTGTAGAGGAGTAGACAGCCTGCTCTTTCTGCCACGGAGCAGCTGGTGGGTTAGAACTGCTGATCTTGCAGTTAGCAGCCCAGCTCTTAACCCACTGAGCCACCAGTGTATTTTTCCAAAAGTTAGTGGGAAAATTCCATTGTCTTTTAAACCAAGGTTTTCACAAAAATGTTGAAGTCACCTCTGTGTGTGAGAGAGAGAGAGAGAGAGAGAGAGTGTGTGTGTGTGTGTGTGTGTGTGTGTAAATCCAGCTGCTGTTGAGTCGACTGTAACTCATGCAGGCGTCACCTGGGTCAGCATGGACTTGTGTTCTGTGGGGTTTTCAGTGGCTGATTTTTCAGAAGTTGATCACCAGACCTTTCTTCCAAGGTACCTCTGGGTGGACCCAAACCTCCAACCTGTCAGTCAGCAGCTGAGATGGTTAACTGTTTGTACCACCGGGGACCCTTTGGGTGCTGTGCTGTTGCTGTTGTTAGTGGGTGCCATGAAGCTGGTTCTGACTCATAGCAACCCTGGGTACAATAGAAAGAAATGGCCTCCGGTCCTGCTCCATCCTGACAAGTATCCCTACGTCTGAGCCCCTTGTGGCAGCCATGGTCTCAATCCCTCTTGCCGAGGGTCTTCCTCTTTCTCTGACCCTCAACTTTACCGAGAACGATGTTCCTTTCCAGGGACCAATCTCTCCTGACAGCATGTCCAAAGTACAAGGGGGTAACCCCCCACCACCACCAAAAAAAAAAACCCTGAACTTTTTTCAAAGCTATGTATTTACATTTTCTTTTCACCTTCAAAGTACTCTCCATTACACTTAATATATTTGTCAAATCTGTGATTCCATTCTTGGAAACATTTTTCAGACTCATTTGTTTGGATGGCTGACAGCACCTCCCTCAGTTTTTTTTTTCTCTTCACCTCTCTACATCATCAAATCGCTGTCCTTTCATGTTCCTCTTCATTCTTGGAAACAAAAAGAAGTTGCCTGGAGTGAGGTCAGGTAAGTAAGGTGCATGGAGCAAGAGATGTGTGCTGTTTTGTGTGTGTGTGTGTGTGTTTTCTTTTTTTGCCAAAACCTGGTACACTGAGATGGCTGCGTGAGCAGGTGCATTGTTGTGGTGGCAAAACCAGTTCCCCATCTGCCACAAATCAGGCCTTTTGTTGTCACACACTGTTCTGCAATCTTTCCAAAACCTCTAAATAGAAAGCTTGATTAACAGTCTGACCTGGTGGAATGAACTCCAAATGCACTATCCCCCTTACATTAAAAAAGAAGAAGAAGAGCCTTGTCTTGACCTTTGATTTCACTTGACGACCTTTTTTAGGGTGAGGTGACAATGGCACCTTCCACGGGCTTGGTTGGTGTTTGCTTTCGGAGTCAGGAGAAGAGCACCACGTCTCGTCACCAGTAATGACATTGGGAAAAGTCTGAGTCTGTTTGGAGCTGTTCTTTTAGAGCACAGCATGTTTCCACTCGATGCTCTTTTTCCTGGTCAGTCAGAACCCAAGGCACAAATTAGTCAGTGGCCCTCCCTTCTCACTCCCAAATCCTCCATTAAAATTTGCTAAGCGGAGCTCCAGGACAGTCCGGATAACTTCCTCATCTCTTCAATGGTCCCTTGTCGTCATTGGTCTTCAAGCATAAGCGCACACAGTTTGTTGACATTTTTGTCCATTCAGGCAGTTGACAGATGGCCAGAATGAGGCTTGTCGTCAATCGACATTTTATCTTTTTGAAATGAGAAAAACACTCATACACTTGCGTTTTTCCCATAGCGCTGTCCTTGGAAGCTGCAGTCAACATCACAATAATTTCTGTGGTATTTTTCTCGAGCAGGAAACAGAGGTTCACAGCCACACACTGTTCTCTGAAATCAGCCACCACAACAAACAAGGTTCAAGTGAAACTGCTTTTATGAAAAAATGCACTGTGACCAGAGAGAACCTTCCCAGGTGACGCCACTGGGTGCACTAACTCTGGTGAGTTGCTCAATGCTCGCCTAGTGGGAAAAATGAGTACTACTACGAAAGCTCTGCCCAGTGGAAGTTTTTCCTGTTTGTTTGTTTGTGGGGTACCCTCTCATACATGAGACAAAGTCTCCCTTTCTCTCCTTAAAGGAGAACCAAGTGGAAGTGGATTGCTGGTGAAGGGTTGTGATGAGGAAATGAGTGGTCTGGAAGGGTAGGTTGCTCAGTAATGCCTCATCAAAGCTGGACATGACCTTCAGGAATTGGTCTCTGAGATATGGCCTCTTCTGCCTTCTCCTTCCACCCCTCTTAATGCCCCTCCTACTGGCCAGTTTTGATGAGTGACCACTTTCCTCCCCAGCCTCAGGTCCCATTATAACGCCACTCTGCTCACCCTTCTTGGAGATGCGTCCCCTTCCCTTGATGGGCGCTGGTCTGTCAGCATCGCTATGGTGAGCTCACAGTCATCCTGGGAGGGGTCAGCGCACCAGACCTCCCAGCGTGGCCCTGGTCAGAACGGGAAACTGGTGTCCCTAGGACTCACCTCTTTTTGGCAGAAGTTCTGGCAGAGGGCTTTGGTCTGGAAATTGTTGCTGTTCCCTTGGCAGCCACCATAGATGAAACTGGCACAGGTGTTCTTTTCCTTATCATACCACCAGCGACGGAAGTAAGCCAGGCACAGGCCAGTCTCCTTCGGCAAACTGCAGATATCTACAGGGAGAGCCCAGAGTGGAGAACTCAGAGTGCTGCCTGGGCAAAACCACACTCTCCCTGCAGCCACTACTGATGAGATGGGGAGCAGGCTCCTTTGCCCTTATCATAAGCCTAGCGGCTTTGATATCGTTGTAGCTATTTACATAGCTCTTTGGCATCTATCGCCAGAAAACACTGGCCTCTCTCATCTTCTCTCACCAGGGGCCTCATTGTCTCCAGTGAGAGAGAGCACACTTTGTTCCTAACTCAGTGTGTGCCCCCCACACTCATTTCACCTTTCTGGTGTTTGGTGTCTTCAGCTGTACTACAGGAGTGCAACATTCCCCATTGCTGGTTCCCCAGGGACAAGCCTAGTGTGAGGGCAAAGGAGGCCACCCCTCATGACCCTCTAAGTGGCGAGCCCCTGGATTGTGTCTGGATGTTGAGTTCTGGCACAGGGCCATGCTCAGTAGGTATGTCCTGAATGAGTGATGGGCATGGAAGTGGTCTGAAAGTTACAAATTATAAGCCAATCATTCTGCCCTCCTGTGGGATTATAAAAAGACTTTTCCCCAGCTTTGGCTCCCCCAAAGACAATCCAAACATTAGAGGCTTTTTGCCAGCATATGGTGGGAGGTCAGATGCTTAGAGACATCACCCTACCTGAAGGCAGTCAGTTGGCAGACTACTGTCCGGGCCCACCACAGGTAGGCCCACTCCCTGCTGTTAAGGACAATGGGCTACTTCTCCCTACAGGCTTGAGGCCATTAGTTTGGTCCCTGTAGGTGGGGTTTATACCCTACTGATAATGGTTTCTATGGAGATCCAGAGAACAAGTCAAACCTGCTCAGTGACATCCAAAGTTAGGCTGCCATCCTGAATCTAGAATCTACCCATCTTGTCACAAAAATACCCCCAATCCCTCCCCTTCCTATTGCATGTATGTCCCTAGATGGTCCCCCTCTCATTGCCTTATAACCTCTAGTGCAACCCCTTCCTGTGTTGTATGTCTTTACCTGTAATTAGGGGGCTTGCACTCCCCCCAAAGGTATATAGGCCTGGGTTAGCAATAAAGATCCCTCTAGGCCTCTCGTTGGCTCCCTCTCCTCTCCGGTCCTCTCTCCCCTGTTCCCTTTCCCCTTGTCCCTCTCCTCTCCGGTCCTCTCTCCCCTGTTCCCTTTCCCCTTGTCCTCCTTCCCTTCCCCCTCTCTCCTGCCCTCCGGTCTCTCTCTCTCCACGTGGACCACCAAGTGAGGCTGAGGTGAGCATGCTACTATGAAATGTGTCTGACTCCATTATTTCACTCTCTCTTCTGTCTCTCATGCTCTCTGACTTTATTATAATATATATATAATAATATATTGAGATATATATATATCTCAACCGTACAATTGCCTCTATCGAACCGTGATTAGTTGTGGGGAGTTGGCCTTTTCCACACCCTCCGAGCAATGCCAAGGAAAGGAAATATGGGATCATAAGCAATGGGCAAGTCCACACAAGGCAGGGCCAGTTACCTTTTCCTCAAGACATGGATTCAACACACGCATCTTACAACTAATAGTCATTTGCCACTTTGGACTTGATATTCCTTTTAGGAAGCGCCCAGTCAAGAGTAACATATGCTCACTCTAGCTAATATGTATCAAGGGAACCACGGTAGTGTATTGGTTTAAGCAGATGGTCTGCTAGCCTCAAAGTTCTCCTCAGCAGGAGGAAGATAAGGCAGCAGGAGGAAGATAAGGCAGTCTGCTGCCCTGAAGATTGACAAGCTCAGAAACCTTACAGAACCATCCTTCTTGGCTTTCCAGGCTTAAGATGAGTCAGGATCCACTTGATGGCAGTGGGTTGGTTTGGGTTTAGTATGTATCCTGTGGCTGTTATGTGCCACGCATTGTTCTAGGCGCTTCATATGATAACTTATTTGATCCCCAAAATAACCCTAACCATTGGCACTTTCGTGATCTGGGGAAATGGAGGCAGAAACTCAACAAAGCAAGCTCACTGTTGTCTTGTCAGTGACCTACATAGGGTTTCTGAGGTTTTGTAAATCTTTACAGGCACGGACAGCCTCATCTTTTTTTCCAGGGGAGGGACGGGTAGGTTTGAACCGTGGAGCTTTCCATTAGGAGTCCGACCCTCACCCAGAATGCTGGTGAAAACGAGACCTAAGATTTCAACTCGGGAATTCTGCGTTCAGAATATACTCACTAGAGCATAGGACCAACTTCACTCCCCTACCCACCTCGGGTGTTTCAGCCGTCCTGTTTACGTCCTAAATATGTCTAACACATCTTGCTTTTTCCTTCCCCCTCAGCTACCTTCCTCATCTAAGCCACCGACTTATTTCATCCAGACATCCTTCAAGATCCTCTGTTTCACACGCACATATGCGCGCGTGCGCGCGCACACACACACACACACACACACACACACACACACGCATGCACATCTCCTCCATTTCTCATTTCACTTCCCACACTGAAGGCACAGAATAAACCTGGTCATGTTGCTGCTCTCTCAGATGGATTTCCATTGCTATTAGGCTCAAGCTGAGACTCGAACCTGGCCTGTCAGACACTTCACCAATTGATACATACTTACCTATGTTCTCTTTTTTTTTCTTGTGCCAGGTTTGAGCTCACTTACTCATCTCCCGAGAATTGACCATGTTACCTCCCACCACGTAGACTCTGTATATGCTCTTCCCTGTATCTGGAAAGCCCTTCTATCCAATTGTTGTCTAAATTTTTACCCATCCTTCTATCTCAAAACCAGGGAAGCTTTCCCCAGCCTTCCCTGACCCCAGTGGGCCCTCATCCTCTTGTGGGTACCAGAACCACTCAATACATATGTATTAAGTAAATGAATACAGAATCCTTGATAGTCCTCTTGGAGCCCATAGGATGGCAGGAAGTTGAGATTATAGCAGGGAAAAAAATCAGACAAAATAACACCTCTGGTCTGGAGGGGCCAGGGGAGGCTTCCTAGAAGTGGAGGCAGATGCAGAGTTGAATTGGTGTAGGCAGAGGGGCGGCCACCTGGGACTCGGAAGACCATAAAAGAGTAAAGAGTAGTCAAGAGACCATCTGGTTCATCCCCACACCTATACTCATCTTTCATCTGGGGAAACCGAGGCTCAAACAGAAGAAGCATGTTACCATGTCACACATTCTATTAGGGGCAGTGGTGGATCAGAACCCCAAGCCTAGCAATCTTGTCCAGAGATCGGTCCCCAGCACACCAGGGGATGATGCCAGCTCCGTTGGGTAGAGGGGTGAGGGTACTGGGAGGGGAGCTACTTATTCCAAGACTCAGACTCTTACCTTGTCTGAGGTCTAAACATTTTCTTCCACAGCTGAAGATACAACACTTCTTGTTGTCCGGGCACTGCTTGTCTTTCGTACACTGGTCCCTCTCTTGGAATTCACACTGCTCGCTGATTCGGGGGCATTTCTCTAGGAAAGGACAGACATACCACCATGAGCTAAGGACAGACTTACCACCATGAGCTTTAGAGGGCACAGCACCCAGCCTTCTCCAGCTCAAGGCCATGCTGGGTAGGGAATGGGGAAGTTGGTTTTCATTTTGCGTGTGCCCAGGAATCCTTTTGCTCAGGGCCACCGCATGTATTTTCAGTGCTGTCTATGCTGCCGACCCTCCCTGCTACCTCTTACTCTCTGCCTTCTTACCCCAGCACTGGACCCATCCCCTTGAAAGCAGGGCTTCACAACTTCAGCACTATTGGCATCTGGGCTGGCTTATTCTTCCTTGTGAGGGATCATCTGGTGCATTGCTGATGTTTAACAGCATTCCCGGCCTCTCTCTACTAGACACCCATAGCAGCCCCTGGTTGAGACAACCTGAAAGGGCCCCAGGCATTGCAAGTGTCCTTGTGAAGGTAAAGATTACTCCCATGAAGAAGCACTATTCTAAGCTTAGCTGGCTCTTGGACGTGATGAGGCCAGTCCCTGGGATTCCCTGGGTGGGACTAGTGCACAAGTGGTTACCATCATTCTCCCTGGAGCCAGCCTCCAGTTTTGAAATTTGAACCCTAGACCTGCCACTTACCCTCTCTCAACCATGGTTCCTTCGTTTGTAAAATAGATTTAGCCTTATTAGGGTAATGAAGAAAATATTAGACAAAAGTATATTGGTGCACAATAATATTAACTAGCATTTGTTAAGTGGCCATAAGCCATTGGAAGCATTCTTCAAAGCATCTTAATTTGTTTTTCTCATTGAATTCCCATGCCAGCTCTTTGGGGTGTGTTCTGTTAAGTATAGATGAGAAAACTAGAAATATGGAGTTTAAGTAACTTGTCTGAGGTTACATGACTGCTAAGTGGTAGAATTGGGATTCGAACCCACTACGTTTGAATTCAGTCACTCTGTTCAAATCCATCTTTTCCGATAGTAGCGATCATTAGTATTACATTGGCACAAAGTACTAATGTGCAGGTTGGAAGAGACTTCAAGATACTTGCCATTACCCCCAAAGCCAGGGCAGCCCTGGACTGTATTTGAAAGAACCAGGAGGTGATGGGGATATTTCAAGAAAAAGGGCCTTTCTTGTGGGGCTTGGGGAAAGGCTTCTTAGGCCTCCGGGTTCCTATACAAAGGACATATAGTTCTTCCCATGAAGACTAGATCCTGTGACCCTCCCTCCTCCTCCCCTCACAAGCAAGAGCCTCCACTCCAAACAGGAAAAAAGTCGGGGTTGCCTCAAGCCTGGGTTCCCATTCATTCACAGAAAGGACATTGCACAGGGAGGGCAATAAAAATACATACTTCAAACACATTCTTCATCTCCCACACCAGGGCCTGGGCGCAGAGGGTAGACTAGAGGCGAGCTCTAAGGAATTGTTCCTTGTGCCCTCCTCCCAGCCAGCTTCCCTTTCCCCAGCAAGCGCCCAGGCCCCAGTACTTACTGGGAAAGAACCAGTCCTTCAGCCTCGACCCCTGCACATTGGATAGGAGGATGAGGAGCACCAGGATGCGCAATGGTCCGGAAGACACCATCCTGAGGAGTCCGATGGGTCCGGGACCTGGAAATGTCTGGCTGCTTTTGATCCCAGACGGTTCTGTCAGCACTCAGCACCTTGCGCATGAGAACTGGAGACAAGCCAGCCAAGCCCGCTTCCTGCTGGGAACACCAAGTTCCTAGGGAGGGACCACAGCTGGGGGAGGAGTCTCTTCTTGGACGCTTCAGATCCTTAGCTCCCTGGGCTATGCTGGGTTCTCTGGTCGACCGGAGGAAGTGGGTCAATGTTGTTTGACCTATCCAGGATACTTTAGGATAGGGATTCTCAACCTTCCTCATGCCGTGACCCTTTCATAGAGTTCCTCAGGTGGTGGTGACCCCCCAACCATCACATTATTTTCCTTGCTACGTCATCACTGTCATTTTGCTACTGTTATGATTAGGGCGACCCCCTGTGAAAGGGTCATTTGACCCCCCCAAAGGGGTCATGACCCACAGGTTGAGAACCATTGTTCTAGATGTAAGTACCCCCTCCTGTGGGCTCTCCGTGATGACCAGTTGACGTGCGTATATTGCCCTCATTCTCCGTTCACTTCCTTAGCTGGCAAGCATCCATTTCCTCCAACAGGGCGCAGCCCTGCTGTTTGTCCCTGACGAGGGCTCTCTATTTGTCACTTGGCATCCTTGGGGTCCCTGTGCCTCTCGATGCCCCTCTCTGACTTACCCTTTTTCCCTTACATTTAAATGTTGAAATACCGTAATCATAGATCCCCAAGAAGTTGGAAAAGTGTACAGGTAGGTTTTATGTACTCTTCACTCAAGTTTTTTTCTTGCAAATATTGGGTGAAGGTTTACAAAACCCACCATCAGTTTTACATTACACTCAGTGATTCATACATATTCTGTTTCATCTCATTTATTGCAATCCCCTTGATGGACCATCGCCCAGCCCACCTTTTCCTGTCTCCATTCCTCCTTTGTCCCAGACCCTGCTGAGGTTTGTCCTTGGATAAGTGCTGCCCCCTTGACCCCAAATGGCCAAGTATTCTAAAGTGTACATCCGTAAGTTATGCTTTATTCCCATGGAAGACCTCTATTGTTTGCCTGGAAATTGAGTCTCAGAGGTTCCAGTGGGCATCAGATCAGCGAGCCAGGTATCTTTTAGAACTTTGGGCTTTGCTCCTTTGGGGGTCAAGCTCTGTGCTCTGAATTGTCTTCCGTGAGGAACAGAAGCCAGATGAAAGCCAGCCTCAACGTCAGTGACCTAAGATCACAGACAGACTCCCACCAACATCATAATCTCACAGAAGCCCCCCCAGGGAGACTAGGGAATTAAATTACTAACGAACCACCAAAATGTCCTAAGTAGTACTCTCCCTTCTGTTCCACTCCCCCCATTTTCTCCTCCACAGCCCAAGAGAAAGTGGAAACTTGGACTGTCTGGGTGGAAGGGTTCTGGAGGCCCCTCGAGTCCCATTTCCTTATTTTACGGATCGAGACCCAAAGGTCCAATAAGTGAAGATGCCGACTCAATATCACTAAGTAGGTGGATCCAAAACTGACGGTAGAAGGGAGCCGAATCTGTACATCTCTGCCACCAGTCACCAAGGAATCTTCTGAGATTGGTGTGGACATACAGCGTTATTGAGAGTGATCAGAAATGGTAACGTCTTTCATGGAGGCAGTGGCTGAAAGCCTATAAACTGGGAAAGGTGTGAATAGTACAGCCATTGCCATCAAGTCAGTTTTCTGTTGACGTTCAAACAATTTTAATAGTTTTATGGACAAATAGTTCACGTCATCTAATTCGATGGTTTATAATGAAGAGTTGTGCAATCATCACCATAGTCAATTTTAGAACATTTTCTTCTTTCTATATTTTTATTTTAATAAATCATTCTATTTGGGACTCTTATAGCTCTTATCACAATCCATACATCCACTGTGTCAGGCACATTTGTACATATGTTGCCATCATCCTTTTCAAAACATTTGCTTTCTACTTGAACCCTTGGTATCAACTCTACATTTTTTTTCTTCCTTCCCTGTCCTCCCACCCTCATGAACCCTTGATAAATTATAAATTATTATTTTCATATCTTACACCATCTGTTGTCTCCCTTCACCCATGTTTTGTTGTTCGTCGCCTGGGGATGGGGTGATACATCACTTATTGCTATTGGTTCCCCCTTTCCCCCCCACCTTCCCCCTACCCGCTTGACATCCCTACTCCCATTATTGCCCCTGAGGGGGTTATCTGGCCTGGATTCTGTGTGTAGAGAGCTCTTATCTATACCAGTGTACATGCGCTGGTCTAGACAGCTTTGTAAGGTAGAACTGGGGTCAAGAGAGTGGGGGCAAGGGAAGCATTCAGGAACTAGAGGAATGTTGTATATTTTACTGGTGCTATACTGCACCCTGGCTGGCTCCTCCCTTCTTTGTCACCTTTCTCTGAGGGGATGTTTAATTGTCTACAGATGGGTTTTGGGTCTCCACTCACTCCCCCTGGTTTGCATTGATATGATTGTTTGTTTTGGGTCTTCTGATGCCTAGTACCTGATCCTGTTGACACCTCATGATCACACAGGCTAGTGTGCTTTTTCCTTGTGGGCTTTGTTGCTTTCCAGCTAGATGGCTGCTTGGGTTTTTGTTTGTTTGTTTCTTTCGTTTTTTTTCTCAAGTCTTTAAGACCCCAGACTCTTTATCTTTTAATAGCTTTCTTCTACACATTTGCTCATGTACCTATTTTGTCTTCAGTGATCGTGTGGGGAAGGTGAGCATCACAAAATGTCAGGTTATTAGAACAAAGTGTTCTATCGTTGAGGGAGGACTTGAGTAGAGGCCCATTGTCCATCTGCTACCTCAATACATCATATATAAATATATGTACATAGACCTATATCCCTATTTTTATATATTAATATATTTACATATGTACATGCCTATGTTTATACCTCTATAAATGTCCTTTGCCTCCTTGTTCTTTCCTCTATTTCCTTTTACTTTCCTCCTATCCCTCTATCATGCTTGATCTTTGTTCAGCTCCCCACTCTCATGCTTGACCTTTGTTCAGCTCTCAGTAATTCCTCCGGCTACATTGCACTTGATCAAACTCCACCAGTCATTCTACCCCCTTCTCACCATCAATTTTAGGTCTCTTGTTGTTCTCTTGTCCCTGGGTTTGTTGGCTCCCCACTTCCTTTTCCCCACCTACCCCTCTCCCATGTCCCCCAGGAACAGTCGGTCCCATTGTTTTCTCTGGATTGTTTATCCTGCCTATCTTATATAGATAGACATGTGAAAAATAAAAGCCTATAAACAGTTCCAGGTCTGTCTGTTGACCCTTATGAACATTTTCTGATCGAGTCTGATGAGGTAACAAGTCCTGCTCCCAAAATCTATTTTGGGGATTCCTTGGGGACTTCATTGCTTTGCTCCCCTTGCTGCTCTGTTGCGCTCCCTTTGTGTTTTGCCCCAGCGTGGTGGGGTCAGACTGGGCACAATTCCCTCACTCTGTCTCCAGTGTTGCCCCCCATAGTGGTATGGGTCAATGAGGAGATGTTGTGTCTCATGGTGGGTCCTCCCTGTGCATTGGCTGCTCCAAGTAGGAATGTCGTTCTTGGGGTGTGGTGGGTGAGGATAGGGTCCACTCTCTCTCTCTCTCTCCTTCCCTCTTAGTTTGCTCCCACGTGTTCTGAGCAGACCCACCCCTCTCCCCGGGCTGTATCTTCAGTGTTATCCTCTGTAGTGCATGCAGCTCAAATTGGGGCTGACCCTGCAGACTTCTGTTAGCTCACTGCTTCATGCCGGTATGTTGCCTTCAAGTCTTGGCACACCAGGTTGAGATCTGGCCCCCCTCTCTCTCTCCTGAGGAGACATAAGCAATACCCGCCCCATGGGTGGTTTAGTGCCCTGTCCCTCCACCCCCACCCATGTCCTTTCCCCCCCCCCCTTTTTAGTTGACTGTCATATGTATCCCTGGGTTGGGTCTGAGCCCTGCCAGAGTGCCTGGACCTCACCCCAGGAATTTATGCATTTAGTAGCTTTTCTCATATGCCTCTTGTGCTTTTTAAGTTTACTTCAGTGGACTCATGTTGTACTTGTTCTTTTGTGCTTGACTTACTCTGCTTAGCATAATTTTCTCCAACTCTTTCCATGTGACAGTGTGCTTCATGCATTTATCACTGCTTTTTAGAGCTGCATAGTACTCCATTGTATGTATGTACCAGAGTTTTTTAATCCATTTGTCCGTTGATGGAAATTCAAGTTGTTTCCAACTCTTTGTGATTGTGAACCACACCACGATAACATTGGAGTGCAGCTGTCTGGCTGTGGTCTGTTTCTTGCCTCTCCTAGGTATATGCCCAGTAGGGGGATTGCCGGGTCGTATGGTAGCTCAATTTCCATTTGTTTTAGCTATCACCAAATTGATTTCCATAATGGCGGCACATACCTACAGGTCCACCAGCAATGGACGAGAGTTCCTATATCACCATAGCCCCTCCAACACTTGTTACTTTCTGATTTTTTGCATTGAGCTATCTTTGAGGGTGTTAGGTGGTATCTCATTGTTGTTTTCATTTGCATTTCTCTTATGGTTAATGATTGGGAACATTTCCTCATCTGTTTATTGGCCACTCAGATGTCCGCCCTTGTGAAACTTTTGTTCAGGTCCTTTGCCCACCTCCTCAATGGGCTATTTGTTTTTTCTTATTGTAGGCTAGCAGAGTATTATAAATTTTAGTAATATGGCCTTTGTCTGATGTGTAATTGCTAAAGATGTTTTCCCAGTCTGTGGGCTCTGTTACTACTCTCTTGGCAAATTATTTCGGTATACACAGGTGTTTTATTTTCAGTGTATCCCACTTGTCAATTTGTGCCTCCTCTGTGTTAGTGTCCTTCCCTATTTCCAATAGCATACATATTTCCTGTGCCAAAGTTCCCAGGTTTCTTCCAATTCCCTCATTAAGGGCCCTAATAGTTTGGGGTTTTCCTTTGAGGTCTGTGATCCACCTTGAGTTTATTCTTGTGTATGGAATGAGGTAAGGGTCTTGCTTCATTTTTCTGCAGATAGATATCCATTTTTTCCAGCACCACTTG